CATATTCGACTTGGAAGACATGACCATCCGGACTATGACAGCTGTTAGATTGATTCTTAAACACAGCTCGAGCCGTCAACTAACCTGAAAACTATTACATGTTAGCTACCTTTAATAATCTATTTAGCCAATGGAAATAGCTTACCAGACAACGCTCTATCATATCCTGAAGCCATAATTTATGATGATCTAAACCGTAAAGTGAAATTAAATGGAGTTTTTGGGTATTTTGAAAAGGATCGAAGCTTAATGGGAAATGCGGGCAATATTGATGAAGCTTGATGTTTGAACTGCAGGCAGCTCAGCATACGAAGCTACGCGACAGGAAGGTCCAACGGACACGAGCCTGGCTCCACAATCCTCAGGCATTAATTCGACAAGGCTGTAAATATGCGGGATGTCCGCCAAGGTAGCGCACGAGCCACATCTACACAAGGCAAAACCTCAGCCTTTCAAAATTTGGCCAACACACCCCGAGCCATTGCGAATCGAATTCTTTTTCAAAATTCTCAAGGCAATTTTTTCATGATCCTGAAACTTTCAAGATTCTAAATTTGTCAGAAAATATACACTTTTCTTAACAGCCCCAAAATTGAAAGTTCACTCAGACGTGCAACAAAACTTTTGGAAGTGATAGACTAATAAGCCTGGATAAAGCTCGCCATTGTGACCCCACCGTTAATTTCTTCCCCTCAAGAATTTGGGAAGCCTTCTTCAAATTGAACATCGCAAACATGGCAGTTCGATCACGCATTGCTCTCGCGGCCCGCAGAGCTAGGGTATCGCCGGTATCATCCTCATGCTCGAAAGTAAGATCATTACGACCATTGACTCAAACTCGATGGCAAAGTACCGCTAGTACGGAAGACACTGAAGGAATAGCCAAAGGAACAACTGGCACATCGAAGACCATAAAATTTACATCCGAAACATACCCTGATATAAAACGAGACTCGAGGTTCGCACAAATCACCGAGGAGAATGTGAAGTTTTTCAAGGATTTACTGGGGAAGGAATCTGCGATTATTGATGGAGTTACAAAGGATGCTACAGACGATCTTGAACCTTTCAATGGAGATTGGATGCGCAAATATAGAGGACATACAAGTTTAGTTTTGAAGCCCGGATCCACAGAGGAAGTGAGCAAGATTTTGAAGTATTGCAATGATAATATGTTAGCAGTTGTACCACAGGGTGGAAACACTGGACTTGTCGGGGGTTCCGTTCCTGTATTCGATGAAATTGTTATCAACATGAGCCGAATGAACCAAATTCGATCGTTTGATGAGATTTCAGGTACCCTTGTTGTAGATGCTGGTGTTGTTTTGGAAGTTGCGGACAATTATTTGGCAGAGCGCAAACATATCTTCCCATTAGATCTGGGCGCAAAAGGGTCATGTCATATTGGAGGTAATGTAGCAACAAATGCTGGAGGTTTGAGGCTGTTGCGATATGGAAGTTTACACGGGAATGTTCTCGGAATTGAAGCAGTCCTACCAGATGGAACAATTGTGGATGATCTCTCCAAATTGCGAAAAAACAATACTGGTTATGACTTGAAACAATTGTTCATTGGTGGTGAAGGTACAATCGGTATAATCACTGGAATCTCAATCATCTGTCCTCAGCGATCAAACGCCATCAATGTCGCATTCTTCGGTCTCGAATCTTTCGAAAAGGTTCAAGAAGCTTTCAAAGAGGCAAAAGGTCAACTTTCTGAAATTCTGTCTGCTTTCGAACTTATGGACAGTCACAGCCAAGACTTAGTTCAAAGAGTAACAAAAAATAAGAGACCGTTGGAGGGTGAGTATCCTTTCTATTGTCTTATCGAAACCAGCGGTTCCAATTCCGAACATGACCAAGAGAAGTTGAATAATTTCCTCGAACATGTCATGGAGAAAGAGATCGTCTCAGATGGTACCTTGGCCGAGAACGCCACACAAATCAAGGATCTCTGGAGCTGGAGAGAAGGCATCCCCGAATGTCTCGGTCACTGGGGAGGTGTCTACAAATACGATCTTTCGATTCCTCTAAAAGAACTCTACCAGCTCGTCGAAGATGTACGAGAAAAGATCACCGAAGCTGGTCTAATCGGCGATACTGAAGATCACCCAGTCGTAGGTGTAGTAGGTTATGGTCACATGGGAGATTCGAATTTGCATCTCAATGTAGCTACTCGAAGCTATGATAAAAGAGTCGAGAAGGTATTAGAACCATTTGTGTATGAATGGATTTCTAAGAGGAATGGAAGTATCAGTGCCGAGCACGGATTGGGATTGGCGAAGAAGAATTATATTGGATATAGTAGGAGTGAGACGATGATTGGGTTGATGAAGGGGATTAAGAGCCTCTATGATCCTGTAAGTTTAATGCCTTGGCCTACATATTTAAAGCTCTGGACATGTACTGACTTTTACAGAATGGAATCATGAATCCATATAAATATATCTGAGTGGGTATGAAGAAGCTTACGGTTGTAGTTTAGGGTAACACCGCATGTCTATATGGGACTTGGACATTGTATTTGTTGAGCGGGAAAGAGAAAAGTCAAGTGAATGAAGGATTGTATATACTCATATTATATACCAAAACTCTCGAAGTATATCACAATCATCATATAACCAACAGCGAGACCTATCACCTGCAACTAACAACTCCAACTTACCTTGTAACTTTCGTCTTATGTTTAATATCTCGCTCCAGGCCCATCTCCACAAGGTGATGACTCCCGAAAAGTTACCAAAAACTCAACTATCGATCTCAAAAACCTCATTCAAAAATTCAGACCTGAGCTAGTCATATCGTCCGAAAGCTTCATGCAGCTCTTTATCTCAAAAGAAATCTCTGCTATTGATTCTAGTGTACCATCGCGAAATCCTAAGGCAATAGGGATGTGGTCTTCTCGATTATTTCGGTTACCATGAACCAATGTAAGAGCAATATGAGACAACCCAGTGGTCCAAATCTTCATTATCAACGCGATTTCCTACCCCGCTGCAAAGTTGCATGGAACCTTGGCACTTATCAAGGCTCACGCTGAACCCTGCATGAACAACGCACGTCATCTTCTCCACCTGCCTTTCCGAGCGACTGAGCCGAGGAATGTGTCATTAGTCACTGGACCTATCTATATACTTCGTACAGAACCATCAACCTCTCTCTCTCCCTTATCTTTTCATCTTCTCACCCCGAAATTCCTATACAAAACCTAACATGTCCAACCCCTCCCCCCTCGTCCACTTCTACGACCTCTCCGGACCGCAACCCTGGTCCCCCGCCTGCTGGCTCACCCGCTACGCCCTCAACTACAAAAACATCCCCTACCGCGTCGAAAAAATCTCCTACCCCGCCATCAAACCCCTCTGCGAGCGACTCTTCCCCGATATGACGAATCTCGACGCCACCGTTCCCATTATCGAGATTCTCGCACCGCCCCATGTCGCGCTCAATGATTCTACGCCCATTGCGAAATTATTAAATGAGAGGTTTACGCAGGAAAATGGGTATAGGGATTTGAAAGGCGTGGAGGAATTAGAGGTTTATGAAGCGACTAGCGCAAAGTTTTTTGGGAGAGCGATCCTGAGGTGGATTATCAATGATGTTTATGAGAATGCGCTGGATAAGGGTGATGGGTCACGAGAGTATTTTAAGAGGACGAGAGAGGAATTTTTGGGGTGTGAGTTGAAGGATGTCATGGAGGTGAGGGGGGGTGGAGAAGCGGCGGTGCTGGAGGATTTAAAAGTCAGATGGAAGGGGTTGAGGGAGAGGATGCTGGGGGATGATGGGGAGAGTGAACGTGAGTTTTTATTTGATGCTTTGAGTGTTGGGTTTGGAGTGAGAATGCTGATGTGTGGTAGCGACATATGTTGATTTCTACGATGCGGCTAATGTTAAGTGGATTGCAGCGGCGTCGGAGGAGAAATTGGAAAAGCTTATGGATTTGTATGGAGATGATACTTTTGTGAAGTTGATGAAGAAGGTCGAACCTTGGTCTCGATGATAAGCGAGTGGAAAGTAGATATGGATCAGTGGAAGGAGGTTGCTCAAAGCAAAGCGCAAATTACCGACATCCGGTTACTTGTAGCTCATATAGCTTATTTAACAAGCAACATAACTATTGAGTTGTTTCTGATTTAGATTTGACCGATGCGACTTACAGATACGCATTTGCGTGATAAAGAGAATCTTGTGCCCAAAGCACTCTATCCTGCGATCTTCGTAACCTCTGATAAGTCGCTAACACAAACCTCCATGGTGCGATGACTTCAGCTGATCGCTCAGTGTCAGACACAGTTTAGCTTGAATGTTTATCTCCAACACCCAAGAAGAGCAAAAAGAAGAATAACGCAAAGCATATTCCGGAGCCTGCGATTATTTCACCCAAATCTTCTTTTCAAAACGGGACATTGCATCTTATCCAGCACAGTTTGACTACTTGCACTATCTAGAACCTGGCATCCTGTGATTGGAACTATACCCAAAACTCATGTGTAGCATTTACAATTTTCCATTGATCTAGGAAGATTGATCTCGCAGTTGAAGGTGAAGCCGAGATGATGTACTACTATTCCATGCATATATTGATCCTGAAAGGCCTGAAAGAAAGGAATTTTACTGTCAAAGAGTCAATAGAGAGGACATTAGACTCCGGCGCTCAAGCAGCCTTCGAATTTGCTCGGTCTATCATTACTGGTGGTGCATGCAACAATCCAGCCAACTGCTGACGATATCTTCCTGAGTAGAACACTGCAACTCTTTCAATCGAAGTAGCTTGGAATGCCAAAGTGTGTGGATTTAACATGGTATTTGGACACCTGAAGCTCACATTAAACCAATTATCGTATGCTGAACGTAGACAAATTTATCAAGAAGAGAACTTCTGCCTGAAATTACAAACATCCAGTCTTCCCATCCAAACATATAAAACCAAGATGCCAAGAGACCGAAGAGATATCTCCTCCAATATTCGCAAAGGTCAAGACCAAGTCAGAATATCTCGATTAATCAATCCATCCCCCGGGTATAGATATATTTGCAAGAGTAGCTTGAAGTGGATTCTCAATGAGTTTCCAAAAATCACCTGCATATTCATCCGTCCGTTCGATCAACCACACATCCCAATCCTCAATACGAGGTCCATACCTGAATCCCAAGAAGCTTTCCAGCAGCCAATTCTCAGGGGCATCCAATTTTCGGGCCATTCTTCTCTTCTTATAAATTGAAGATTCTACTTCGCCGTATGTATTTAGATCGACACCTAAACTGACCAAAAATACAAGCCACCTCCTGAAGCCACAAAATTTTCCTTCTTGGACGTCAAGTCTTCTCCGGTAACTCATAAATTTATTTTGTAGTATTGTTCTGCGAAGTTTGTCCAATGCGTGCAATGACATACCGGCCGATATCGTTCTCTTGATGAATTCCACCCCTTTATCTTTCAAATTATCTCGCAAATATGCTTTACAAGCTAGTACAAAGAATGTTTCCACGACAACATGATCACGATACAGTGCAATGTTTGCCTCAAAATTAGAATCTTCAAGATAGGATAATGCCAAATTTTGAGATACCACACTATAATAGTGAATAGAATTCGAAGCAATACGCACCTTATCTATGAAACTTATCTCGCCAGAGCTCATCAACGTGTGCTGAAGGTAGTGAAAAATTTCTGTAGGACAACCAGTACTGGTAGCTAGTATGTTCGTCTGATCAATAAGCTCCAAATCTGCCCCTGCTTCGACGAGGGTTCGTAGGATAATAAGTGCGCGAGTATGATCAAATGCTTTAGTATGATCAAATGCTTTAGTATGATCAGATGCTTTAGTATGATCAGATGCTTTAGTATGATCAGATGCTTTAGTATGATCAGATGCTTTAGTATGATCAGATGCTTTAGTACGATGAGTATGATGAATATGATTAGTATGCTCAACAGAGGTATTGTAAATAAATACTCCTAATGGTGTTTTGCTAACGATAGTTAGCCATGTAGACCAGTTTGAAATCAAATACGTTAGACTGATTAGCATACCCATATGGAGCTTCCTCGCTTGAGATATCTGCCCCCTTCGCCAGGAGAAGCTTACATAAATCAAGATGATTGTGCGAGGCAGCTATCTGAAACAAAGATTAGTTGTCGATAATTCAACAACTCCGTGACAAATCCGTGTACAACTTACATGTAGAGGCGTACCCTGGTTCCAATCCCATGTACGAGAGTCTCCCACAAACTGATCGTTCAAAAAAGCAGTTCGATTTGCCAACATCTCTTGTACACCAACAACATCCCCGTGTTTCAGGGCTTTATAAAAATCTGATCTGAGGTCCAAAGTACGATAAGTCTGAATGTTGAAGTTCCACCTTAAAGTGGATAGATCTTTCGTGTACATACATTGTCACGCTCTATTGGATAACCATACTGGGGGTTTGTATTTCGCTTCTGTTTCTTCAAACCGATTTCTTTTCCGCTTTTGTTGGGTCTTTCGAACATCAATAGAGCCCATTGGATAGAGAGACCAACTTGACGAGTAAACCTGATTATAAACCAGTGTTGGGGTATAATCTTTGGTTACAGAGTATGAGGTTGAATTGTTGTCGCATTTGAAGTTCCGTGGATGTGTGATTGTTGCAGCATTATTAAGTGGCGATGGAGAATTCATCGTGGAAATCTGGGTGGTTGCATTCGACAATGGCGGTGCTGAAATAAGCTTCTGATGGTTTATCAAAAACTGATCGAGAGAAGCCTGTATTTTCAACTCGAAGACTGGAAATTGTTGATGGAGAGTGGCACTGCTAAACATAAGTAACTCGCAGTCTCGCAAAGAAAGCACTGACAGAACTCACTTTGTTTGCCATGTGATAGCGAGATTCATTAATCTTGACGCACTTTTCATCCTCTTCTTCAACCTCTTGAGTTGATCATTTTTCAGTACCACCTTCGTGGCGCCTACTTTGCTTCTCCATTTATTGCTCGAGTTAATCTCCATTCCAAGAGCCTTCACAAGCTCGTTCAATTCATTCGAAGAGTCGTCACATAACTTTAAACTATTCTCGAGGAACGTATTCGAATGCCTGCCGGAAGAAGCGATTTTAGCCTGGCTTTCTAGAATACTTCGAAGTATCAAGTGATGGGTATCGATCTCTCGCACCAGAAAGCCAATATCGTTGGGCGCATCTCGAATTTGATCCCAATAACTCTTCAGCTTAATAATGCTCGAGGCAAGATTGCCCGCCAGCTGAGCAACACTAATGCCACTAGCCACTGTACCAAGAACCTCTGCCATGATGGTATATAGTGATAATTCGTGATTTTTTTGATTGAAAGAAAATTAAGTTGGGATAGAATTGTAAGGCTATCTGAATTTTTGAAGTGCTCGAGAAGATACAGCCTCAAACAGGCTGTGCTAGGTCATACTTGCATATGCAGTATCCAATCACCATTGAATTTCTTCGCTCTTCAGATAGAATATCTTACTAACTCATCATTAGACCTCCTATGGCATAGCATGGATATTATCGTAATGAGCTATGCTCCGGATAAAGGAGATTCTGGTTGAGAACTTCTCATCTGAAAACAATCAGCTCATGCATAGCAGCCAATTGAGAAGAACAAATTGATACTTTACAAATTGAGGCACAAATCCATTCAATCATCTTTTACAGATATCAAATGAATTTGAATGACCAAGATGGCGTTGGAATCAATCTTGGTAGGTTTCAAGACCTCATAAAGATATTATTTCTTCAACATGTTGAATCATATCGTTCTTCCCTCGGAATTCCACTTCGAAGTTTGTGTTCTCGAAGTCCTCTCACTTTGAACGGAAAACCGGGCACATTAAATCTGTCAAAATCGAGACGCTCTTTAAAACACTATTGTTTCCAAAATGAACAGTTAACAATTTGAAAAGATGTTATGAATGAAGCAAAAGGTTGTGTGTAGTGGAGAGGATCTAGTTTGGAGGAGAATGAGCTACTTCTAGAAAGAATGATGATTAAACCAGGCACAAACTAGTTTCACACTAAAAATTCCCTAATTCGAACTAACCATAAAAACAATATCGATTAATTAATTACCTTATATACCTCACATCATATCATATAGTTATATATAATCCAGAAGAAAAACACATCCTCACGGTACCTAGTAAGTCTCATCTTACATATAACTTTTCAACTTACCTACCTACCTCCCTAGTACTACGAAGTAGTATCAAGATCCCCAAAAAGTATCACGAGACAAGCACCCCACCACCAAGCCAAGACCATCGGCTCCACAAGATCACCACCCACCCACAAGTTACAACCAAATCCCGCTAGTTACTACCCGCTCCCAGTCCATCTATCTGCTAACGATAGTATCTCAGTAGTTCCGAAGCTTAAATGATCGAAATGAAACAATCAGAATCATGATCATCACCACGTGAAAATATACTTGGTGACTTGGTATACTCAGGCATGCAGCGGAATGATCTTTTCGTCATCTTGCATCTATGATCTACGTCGTAGGTACTTAAGGTTATAGATTAGTGACACATTTGATGCTAACCTCCTAACCATCTATCTACCAACCCTGCAAACGAGACGGCAAATGGAAGACCTATTCTGATAATGCATTTGAACGTGAGACACTGGGTGTGTATATACATACTCTTCAGTTAATTATGCGAGGGACGTAGATGGGACGAAGAGATTCGAGAATCTTTCGCTGGTGACGAGGCATGAATGTATATACGCGGATGTGAGTGTCGATGTGAGGTTCTGATATAGAGGGATGGATGAGGGATGAATACAAGGTAAATGTGAATTGGTGTGCAGTGCGTATATTAATGAGTATAACCTTAAGCGAATGATCATCAGGATATGATGTTAAATATTATCAAGAGCTTTACTATCCATACTATCTCATACCATATTATGCCACATCATTTCTACCATTTCCACCCTACCCTACTCTACTCACCAAGTCATCCCTCACCAATCCCTCCCCCAAAAGATACAAACACATAATAAATATACCAAACACAATAAACCCCCTTAAAACCCATTTCATTTCAATTCATCCACCCATCCAACCCACAACAAATTTTCGAAAAAAAAACTATTGCCACTAACTCCCATACTAATAAGATGAATCCAAAAAAATAGTAAGATCTTACAATTCGAAAGGGTCATCTTTATATTCCTAGTTTTTATAGGTTTATTATCAGAGACTTCATCTGAGACTTATCTCGTCCTTCCCCGGTTTCTCTACATCTAGATACATAATAATACGACTAGTGGTATATGAGATATCATTAGCATTTCAAATCTAGCTGCTGGAAAAAATCCTGCAGTTGGTTGAACTTGAATGGCAACAAGACGTCGACTGATGAAATCAAAGTACAAACAGTAACAATAATAATATTCTCATCAATCCCCAGGTACCGGTATATTTTCTGTACTCTTTACACTACAACAATATGCTGCCCCCCTTCCCCAAAAATGCTATCCCAACCATAGACACCGAACTCAAACACCGAATCCAAACCCCAACCTCAACTTCAATCCTCACAAACATGCAAAATCCCAAATCCCCCATCACCCGTCCCAAACCCAACCAACTCCCCCCCTCACAAATACCAATATCCCACATCCGGGGCATCCCATTTCGCCTCCAAATTAAACGAATTATCCTCCTTATAACAAACCTTCTGCATCGCACAATTCAGACACTTAACTTTCCATTTCCAGGCATCCGAATCATACATCGCATGAATATCATTAAGATGTGTAAACGTATGGCCTTTGGGACACGATTTTTTATTTTGCGTCTGTGTCTTGTCTGGAGAGGCAACTGCTGTAGGTCGTGAAGTGATAGTTGTTAAAAGATCGTAAGCGATTGCTGGGTTATTTTTGCATAGGTTTGAGAATTCTCCTCTGTCGTTTAGTTCTCTTAAATGCTTTGCTGCAGTTTCGACGGCAATTGATGCTAAAGCGGTGTCACTTTCTGGAAGTTCCTCGTAAATAAGTTCTAGACTAGCTGAGAAAGAAGGCGTGTTCCAATCTGTCACTACCGCTGCTTCGTACTTTTTCTTTGCGAGGTTCTTGAGAGGTTGAATATCGTATTTGTCGCCAATGATATAGACCATAGTATTGACTAACAAACGTCCGTAAACCTCTTCTTCAACCTCCTCACTCGACTTACAAGTATCGTCATAGTCTTGAAGGTACAAAAAATTGATCATTCTCGCGACGATCTCAGGATCATCATCCTCTAAATCGAGAACGCCAGTAACAGACTCCTGTATCAGTCTCAGTAATGATTTGGGAACATATGCATTTCGCAACGCTTAGTTGAGTTTTTCGAATGGGCTGAAGAGACAGGACTAACCATGAATCCTCCATTTGCTGCAGCTTGTATTGGTTTTGATTGTGTGCAAACGACGATTCGATGGACAGGGAATATTCGGGAGTAACATTTAATGACGAAATCACTGTATTCGTTTGCACCCATCATTCTAATTCTAGATCAGCAGAGTCATCCTACAACAACAGAATTCTAATCCATACTTTGCCCATAGGGCTTTAGTCGTATCGACTGATTCATTCTCACTGCTTCTTGCGGGAGACATCTGCGTGACTGGGGATGAGAGCCAATATTTGAACTTTTTTTTCTTTTCCGATATATGAAATGGCTATTCCAACAAACTTTTGATACAGGTAGACGTTTCTGAGAAGAGAGAGCCATGGTAGTTGTTTATTGTAGAAAATATAAGGTGATTATGAATTGTTTGTAGATCATTCAATGAAAGACAGGGGCAGTGCTCCCCATGGAGAAGCAACTATAGCGTCATGCGCACTAAATTCACCGCTCCAATGATTATTCCCCATTCCGTAATGGAAATCAAACAAGTAACACAAATTTAGTCAACATTTGTCTCCTTGAGCTTGGTATTTATAAAAAAAATTGGCGGATGTAGCAGGCTATATTGGAAAACGAGATATTTGCATTCTTAACCAATCAATAAACTCCAGTTGCCCTACCTATGATATACAAACCCAACGCCTAATACCTACTTATCCATCAGTGGGTGTCCGGACTTTCGAGAATTACCCCAAAGTAATAACAAATCATGATTTATCCAAATCTCATCCGACTCCCGTAAAAAGCAAACATACAGTCTGATTGCTTGATCTGCAACGGTATTCTTTGCAGGTCTCAGAATCCCCGAGATAGTAGTTTAGAGCTATCATCGAATCAAAGTTTCTCGTAATCTCACGAGCCGATGTATCCACTGCTAATCCAATCGCTCAATTCCAAAACCATCCAGACTTTGTATTCTTTTTGGCTCGCGACCTGATTTCCTGATCATCAGTCTCCACTCTCTTCTGAGATTGAGAACCCTCTAAGTCAAATTCAGACCTATCAATATCGGATTGCCGGGTCCCTGCTTTATCAACTGTGTGACTAGACGTTGTTTCTGTTTCACTTCCGTCATCAAATCTCTTCCATACACGGATCGTCGTTTCTACACTTCCATCTTCATTGGTAAAATGCTCAACGGTTGAGCTTGAAGATACTTCTCGTTTTGGCCTCTTGGGTTCTGACAGTGATTTTCCACTTATCATGTTGGCTTCTTGCGGACCCGAAGAACTTGACCGACGAGATTCTTCGAATGGTACGATTTCGCCTTTCATCATTTTTTCGACAGCTGTAAGGGTAGACTCAAGCGTAGTGAAGAATTGATCAGGAGTCGTAGATGCATCTCGAAGGAAAATTTCGTACATTTGTTCCTCGGTCTCGGCATTATTCTCGAATTCTTTATCCTGAGAGACAGGCGAAGCTACACCTTGACTGCTGGCGCCAAGTTCTTCAGGTGAGGGGGAATCTCTTGAAATATTCGTAAACTCCGAGCTAGGAAGGTGAAGTATGCCTAGTCTCTGAAGTCTCTCAATCCAATTCAATCCATTCTCCACTGTCGAACTGATACTTTCGGGTCTTTTGGTCGTTGTTCCCTCAATGCGACCGACTAGAACCTCTGTATCGCGACTCTTTCCTTGGCTGATAAGAAGAAGGTCTTCAAATGCTTCGCAATAAGGAAAGTCGTCCCGGGGAGTGGCCCCACGAGGCCTATTATACGTTCTTGTACCTCTGATTTGCGTGTCGTAGAACTCTCGATAGGCATAGATAGATTGACCAAAAGATAAAGTCAGCGGCGAATACGGCGATCTGAAAAGATATGGCAATAGTGAGTGATCATCAGGATTGGCTTTGTATAACATCACCGCAGCAAAAGAACTCATGGTCTGCCTAAGGTTACCAGAGAAAGGATTGGCTAAGGGAGACTGCAAAGGTGAATATAGCGGAATATCGGCAGGTCCGAAAACATTTGTCCATTGGTCATGTAAGAAGTGAACGAAATCTTCATCGCCGTATGTAGCTTGTGACTTCTTCACAGGTATTTGGACTTCTCCGCCCTTCGAAATTGTTGTATTCTCACTTCTCACTTCTTCGGCTTCCTTCAATTCCCTCCGCCTCGCTTGTAGTGCATCTCTTCTTTTCAAATCTTCATCGAATATGGACCATTGCGAACCACCCTGTGGCTTTGAAAATGCTGATGGCAGACCGATGAATCCTTGTAGAACTGCACCTATCTGTTCATCGGCAAAGTGTCTGAAACGAATGAACGGGTTATCGGAATCAGATTGATTGTTTTTGGAGTTTTTGACGGTATCGCCTGGGTTTGATGATTTTGACATTGCGCTTTTGGACGGCGTTGATATTACTGATGTATGTGATGCAGCGCAATAAGTATTGCAAGATGTATTGATGGTATCATCAACTTCAGAAATGTTGAGAGAGAGTTGATGGGTTGTTGATAAGATAGTACGAAGTAGTGTGGAGATAATGTCCAGATTGTGAGGTTATCATGACATTTGTTGACGATTTTTGCGGGGTTCTAGGAATTATTAATAAAGTTAGCGCCTGGATGAGGAAGGGGCACGGCTCGTGCATAGGCACGTACGTGAAGGCACGCACTGGTAGCATGGGTTTTCCAAATGGTTTTGTGCTTAGCTACTCGTGTATCTATTCAACCAATCAACATTGATTCTTTTCATTTCTTCATTTTAATCTTGACTTCACACTTCACTCGGTACAGACAATAATGAGAGCCAGAGCTTTCACACTTCACTAGATACCACCGGTGATACTTATTACTAGATACTTCTTATTTTATTTCATTCTTCACTATATGCCTCGGCTTGCCACTTGTTACTCTATGTAAATTACTATCAACCAATCATTTCATTCTATTTTCTCTTCTCTTTTCTTCTCTCCTCTCCTCTCTTCTATCCTTCACCGCAAACAAGCACCTCCAACCACCACAACCATACACCCACTCAACCACTCACACTCAACCACTCACACTCAACCACTCACACTCAACCACTCACACTCACACTCAACTCCCACGACCACTCCTGCTACACCACTTATTATCTTTCTGCTTACACTACTACACTTATCTAGTAATCATCGACCAATAAATGCATCTGCCCTTCCTTCTCTTCCAATTCCTTCACCGCACATAAGCCACTTCGAGCTCCAAAACCCTTTGGACCTCAGTTTGACTGGTTCTGATAAAAAAAGAACCATAGGGAGCTCGCCACGAAAACTCCATAAGGTCGAGAAAGGTATTGACAACACAACGTTTCAATCTCTTATATTACCATCTCACATGTTCTTACGAGTAAAAAGCCCATGTAATGCAGCAATTGCTTCTTTCTATCTACTTCTCCCAAGACTGGTAATACTTGCGATTTGAAATTAAGAACAACAATGTCTCGTCTTTGTCTTTTCCAATACCGAGTGAGAGATTGAGATTGAGATGGAAAAGTATCCACCCACCACCCATACACAAACCATGACAACCACTGGAACACCGTTAATTGTGCGAGATGCATCAACCCCTCACATGCGACCTCGCACCACTTCAAAATCCTCCTCAAATCCCCACAACTCAAACTCAAACTCAAACTTCAACCAAAATGTTTCTCTAAATTCCAATTCGAATTCGAATGCCGATACAAATAACAACAGACGTCATTCGCTTCCACTTCATTTCCTTCCACCAAGTTTATGGACATCGAATACTTCAACTGCCAGTCTTGTGGAATCCGAAGAAGCTGCCCGTGGTGAACATATCCTAGACGAAGCCAAGGTTGCAAACCGTCTTGCAGCTCTTCGTTCTCTCAACGGTGCGAATCGGGCTGATCATCGTTATGCGAAATCCACTGGAGAAACATTCAATCAACCGGTGATTGTACGGACCTACTCAGGAGCTATTCGACCTCGCTCTCAACAACGAGATCCTATCGCAGCCAAGAAACAGAATGGAACAACGGGCATAGCAGCAAACAAAATGGATATGAAATTTCCGCCAGTGGAAGCTTTCAGCTTCAAGGGAATTATGGACGAAATAAAACATGGTGTTAGTGATGATTTAGAGAGGATCGCGGAAATATGTGCAAGGAGCAAGTATAGTTTGGCAAATCAGCATGAATTTCATCACCCCCCTCATGGATCTGGAGATCGCATACCACAAATCGGTATTGTCCCCGCGACAGATCTAGGTGTACCGACATTACAAGCCGTTGAACCGGATGAAGTTTCTCCGAGACAATTAGCCAGAAGCTCAAGAGGAAGTCGAAGGGGGAAATCTGCCGCTTATGGTACACTAGAGACCATCATATCATCATCGAGGTCTTCCGATGAGGACAAGTCCAGAAAGAAGCCAGCCGCTGTTTTGGAAGATGAGGTTCGCGGAAGAGCAACAAGTAAGGAGATTGAAGTATCACCTCCAAGTCTCGATGTGATAATAGACGCTGCGGTCCCAGAAGCCACCTCTGAAAGGAGCCCTACCGCCAAGCACGCCAGGCCAAGATCTTCCACATTCGCATCCATGATTATTGACAATGCCCAAAGCTTCAGGCAGGAACATAAACCTCAAGTTTCATCTCCTACCTTCCTTATAAGCGAACCCGCTCGACCTCAAACCTCTGGTGCGGACCTTGAACATATGCCTGCCCTTGATGAACTTACTCCTGATCGACCTTCCACTTTCCATGAGTTGACATTACCAAAGCCTACTCTAATACGCAATGAGTCAATAGCTTCCACACTGAGGCCTGAGACCTCGTCGAGATCGTCTATACTTGGTAGTTTGAGTTCATGGCTTCCTTGGAGTAAACCACCTAGTCCAGTGCGAAATCTTCAAGGCAGGGCGAGAAGCGGATCGCATGCAGAAGGAAGTTTGAGAAACTTGTTGAGGTCCACAGAAATCGCTAGAAGGGGCAAAAATGTTGATAGCATTCCTTAAATGGGACCATGACATTTCGAAAAGATTCTAGCGATATGTTTGCCTTTCAATGCAATGTAGAATTAGCTAAAGAAAATGGAATAGACCAAAAATGTGGGAACATTCTAGCCTATCTATATGCATTGAAAGTACCTCGAGCTTCGTGCATAATCTACTAGCACTGGTATAACATGTCTCAATCTCTCCATGAATTTCGGTTGAAGGTCGTGTCCGTGTCGCAACACATACCAAAAAAATCTCAAATCGCCCAACTACGAACCAGATCCATCTCTTCGATTTCGGACAACGGCTAATAACGTGGACCAGCTAGGGGAATTGTAAGTAAAGATGATTAACAAATACTGTACTTCACACAACCAGATCATATTGACATAAGCCGCAGGATTCGCAAGGAAGGGGACAAGTACTCGGATCTTATCATAATATTCAAAGGAGTAGCATTTCATGTGCACAGAAACGTCATTTGCGTACAATCCAAGTTCTTCACTGCTATGGTGGATCGCGACTAGAAAGTAAGTTATCACGTCTCTACTTCAAAATGTAGCTTTTATAGAGTAGACACTAATTGTGGTTAGGATGGTACTGCTTGTAAGATACTGCTCGAATTCCATGAGGCTGATCTCGACGTCTTTCAAAGAATGGTCCGATTTTTCTATCACCGCTCTCTTGATGATGAACATGACCTCGTCACTCTCACCAAACTTTACATTGTGGGGGGAAAATGGAGCATTCCTTTCCTGAAGGAGAACACTGCCTCCAAAGTTGAAGTCCTTCTAGACACATGTTCACGGCGCGGTCATTCTCCTACTGATGCAGTCTTCGAAATGCTGAAGCTCGCTTATGCATGTCTTCCACAGTTGAATACTGATCTCAAATATGTCATCTTGCATCACGTTCTGAAGCACGAAAGTTTGAAGCCCTCGATGAAGGATCGTGACTTCGGAGCTTTTGTTGCACAGAATGGAAGCATAGCAATGGACATCTTACAAGCCCAATTGAATGCTCGCAAAACGGCTCTAAAAATTGAAAAAAGGTATAAAGATCAATAAATAAGCTAAGGAGCCAACGCGTCCTTGGCTCCGTATGCATGAATCACAATATCATCCTCTTTTCTAATACAATTCTTTAACACTATTTGTTCTCAGTGTTATTATACCTGCGCACAATAACTTCTACCTCGCTATATTCTGTACGTTGATTGCCCTTATTTACGAAGTACACGTGAAACTATAATTTGCATGTACAATCACAGTTTCTCATTCTCGCTCGCTCTTACACATACGAATGACTATCTCGGTGTACATATTTCCATATCACATTCAAATCAAAGGAAATGCCTATTTACTGCAAAGCCAAAACACATTCATACTCTTCGACCTTCCTTACAGGTATTTCTTATCAACTCTTCTCAACAAACTTCTCTATAAAAGGGTACTCTCCATCTCAAATCTTGACCATTAAAAAGTCCTCAAAACCGTGAGATAAATTACATCCACACTTATCACACCACCAGGAACGGCATCAAAAACATCGGCAGCCCTAGAAGACATGTAAATTCTCCTTCGGAAATACCCCTAATTCGGCCGATTTAAATCGTCGCGACATTCGTTTTCAAGAGAAATAAGAATGAGTTCCTAACTGCTTCTCAGGGCATATAATCCAAGCGTTAAACGTGGACCTCCAGATTTCACTATTAAGTGTAAAGGTCATTCATTTCTCGTTCATAGAGATGTTGTTGCTCCGCAGTCTAAACCATTAGGTGCAGCGATGGACACTGAGAAATTCTTGGTAAGCTTCACTCTGCTAGTTCTAGTCTTCTTTTACCATCACTATGATATTCAAATGAAGTAAAAGTACACAAGTTTTGCTGATCTATCTCGGAATCTAGGAAGGAACCAAAAACGAAATGACACTCAGCGACGAAAACGACGACCCGGAAATCGTAGGCTTAATGGTCCAATTTCTTTATTGCGGAGAGTATACTATTCCTTTTCCCTCTAACACTTCCTCCTCGGCACGCTCCTCAGCAGACGAAGCAATTAGATGTACTCGCCACGTAGCACTGCACATCTTCTCTGATCTCTGGGACATCCCCTCTTTACAAGTCCTCACTCTCTCGAATATTCAAACTACCCTTTCCCATCTTCCTTTATCATATTTCGCATCGGTGTTGCGACATATCTATGAAGAAACACCGGTATCATATACGCGGATTAGACAGATAGCTGTAAAGGCCTTGATGGAAAGATTTACAGTTGGGGAAATTATGAAGGATAAGGGGTTGAGAGAGCTGTTGAGTAGTAATGGAGAATGTGCTGTGGATTTGTTGGTTTGGGGGGAGGAGAGGAGGATTAAGAGGGAGAGGAGAGTGGGGAGAGATTGGGAGCAGAGCGCGGTGAGGGGGAGAAGAGTGTGTGAAGAGAGGATGTGGAGGAAGAGGGATATTTTAGGGGATGACATAGGATGGGCTGATAGAACTGGTGCGAGGTTTTGAGAGGGGTTCGTGGAGCGAATGGTGTTTAGGGAAATGGCTGATGGGGAGGGAGTGAGATGTAAGCGATGACGAATAATGATGATATTTAACGATTATGATAACCATATGAGATCTTGCCCGTAAATTGTGAGCCTAAATATCATAAACACAAGTAGATTTTGAAATCAATGTTTAACAACCTCTCGTTACGATTTCAGTCGCCTGCCTTATTGCCACTTCCTCTAACCTCAATAATCTCTTGAGCCTCAACCCACCCCAAACCGACCACACACATACTCTCGACCGGCCGCATGACTCACGTGCACGCACGCTATTATCTGCAGCTCCGCCGAGAATCTCCACACTCACACCCAAGGTAGAATCCTTCTCCCCACATCTCACTTCACTGTTCCTCACAGCATCTTTTCCGGCCTCCCGCATCACCCAACCTTTACACCCAAATATATCATATATTCTAGATTCGCCATTTCCGCGCAGAAACTCATCTGCAGCGACAGCGAAAAGGAGTACAGAAAATGAGCCTGAGATGGTCATACCGGTCACCAATTGGGAGGTTGAGGCAGGAAAGTGGAGCGCGTGTGGAATCCCTGTTCTGATATCCCCGCGCCGCTTCACCGAGTTTGTTGAGTTAAGGTTAAGTTACTTCAAGCTGGTTGCTTGTATTTGATTATATTGGTGGTGATACATAGGTAGATAGGTATGTATGTCATCAACTGAGGGCCCCCGCAGGCCTCTTGTATGGTATCTATCTTATCGGGCTCTCGGGGTTTCTATCGCTGCATTAATCCTTTCAAAGCAGCTAGGTAGGCAGGCAGGAAGCGTAGCTCATTAACAATTGCTTGGAAATCCGGAGTAAGTAGACAAATAGACGAACAAACTTCTAGATAAAAATGGGCTAAATATCCCATCCATCCCAAACCATTAGGCAAACCGATCAAAAGTGGCGTATTATACGCAGATAGGATAATCCGCATCCAGTAATCACTCCACAACATATCCTTTTCTCATCATCAACTCGAGACCGCTGGCGACCGCTCAGCCTTGACTCATCGACACGATACAGGGTCATCAGCAGCGAATTTTCTTTAGCGATGATAGGAGGAGCCCATTCCTTGAGGAGTGCACTTGCAGCAGCGGTGCAACATTGTTAGCCTCGTTATGCATATGCTTTCGCTTGATTGGATTGTCTGCCTATCTGACCTGCATTTTGGTGCTCTGAGGCTAACGCTTTGCGATCTATGGTAGGCGGATCGAGAGGTAGGTATCGGATAGGGAAATGGATATAAGTCGTGGAAAACATGTTCTGGTGAATAAATTGATTTGATTATTTTTCGTTTCTTTGCATTTTGTTATATATTTGTGTTGGTATTAACTGGGTGAATTATATCACAGGTGGGAAATTGAATTGAATTGAGCAAAGTTGAATTGCATTTCGATTGAATACTCATTATCGCGAGGTTTATATATATTGAATCACGGAGTACAACAGGTCTGCAATTGCATTACAACGGACTACCTTAAGTATAGGCGAAAACCACTCACTCATACCATCATCATATCTCCATACTCGACTGCTTTTTTACAAGTCTAGAAATAGAAGGAATCTCACATTTACAACTCCGAAGATGCCGCCAGAGTTAAAAAGTAATCTTACATGCATCTCTTGCACCAACACAACAAAAGATTGTCAGAATGTATTGATGCAAGTCATACTTGCGCTGGAGAATGCATCGGAGGTTTATCAAAAATTGGTACCTGTTCTGAGGAAATCTCATGCGAGACATGCGTTGGGGTATGATGTATATGCGGTGGAGGGACAGTTGAGGAGGGCGTTACAGAGATTGTATAAGGTTGATGTTGCTGAGGAGGAAGGAAGAGAAATCTTAAGTAGCTTGGTGGGGGAAGACAGGAGTGAGGGGTTGGGGAACTTGCCTCTTTTTAAGGTGGTTAATGATGCAAAGACAAAGAAGTGTAGTGAAATGGAGGAAACCGTGAGGGGAGAAAGCGGAATGAATTTTCCAATTTTGAAACTCGATGCGGGATTTTCCGATGTCAAGGTTCCGTTTATGGATTCGGCGGTCGAGGTCAGAAGCCCAGGGTTTTTTGAGGACGTCCTTTTGGATGATGATGTTATGGCTATTGCGGAAGATGACTGTGAGCAAAACGAGATTAATACAGAAAGTTGTATGGAATTAACACCCGTGCCGACTCATCTCACTCCTGAAATTCCTTACCTGCTAAAAGCTATTCGTCTATGGTTAGAAGAATTCTTCGAATCAAAAGACGATTCTATAGGTATTCCAGCATCGGTGGTATGTCAACTTTCTGAGTTTGAGGCGGCTTTCAAACTGGAGAGATTACCAACAACAAGCTGTATATGGAATCCCGATTATCAAAGACAACGAAAGGAGGTATGGACAATCACATCATTTTGGGGACCCAATCAACGATCGAAATGCATATGTATACCTGACGAACTTGATGAGAAAACTTTGATACATTCGAATGATTCTTTCTGTCCAAAGAATATGCCCGCGGATTTGGATTCGCTATCAAGAAATTATGAATGGGATTACAGGGCCCATCGATGGCTTATTCGTCGGGGACCTGGTTGCAGAAAAGGTGGGCCAGCACCACCTCCTGAATACTCTAACCATGACGATAGTACATCTGATGCCGGATCAGATTCGGATTCAGATGGGGAAGAAGCAATTGCCGAGAGAATTAAACGGTGTGAAAGGGAGAGAGTGGAAGAAGGAGAAAAAGCCTGGGAGGAAATCATGGCTATGACCGGTTTGAAGAAAGTAAAAGAGCATGTGAGGAAATTTAAAGCCAAAGTTGAGAGTTCGATTCGGCAAAAAATCGATCTGAAGGAAGAGAGGTTTGGCGCAGTTTTTATGGGGAATTCAGGGACTGGGAAAACGACCATGGCTAGGATCTATACGAGATTTTTGTATTCGATGGGAATCATTAAAAGAGATGATATTCTCATGACGACAGGTACATATCTTTCAGATGGAGGTATTGAAAGAACGAAACGATACGTTGATAAGATAGCTGATGGTGGTGTTATGTTCATCGACGATGCAATGACTTTAGATGATTATAGCAACGGCGGCAAGATTCTCGATTTTCTGTTCCAGGAAATCGATCAGAAGAAAGGATCTGCAGTTTTCATTCTCGCGGGACACGAGAAAGGAATGCGTAAACTGTTAGGTCATGGAACAAAGAGTGTTGCCAGCCTGCTTCCCAATGTTCTCATATTCGACGATTTTACAGAGCCGGAATTACTTGAGATTCTCAATTCGTGTATCAAGAGGAAATTTGATGGGAAGATGGAGGTTGAGGGTGGTAATGATGGAATTTATATGCGAATTGCTGCGAGGAGAGTTAGTAGGTCGAGAGGGGGCTCCCAGTTTGGTAATGCGAGAGCTGTGGAAAATCTTGTGGCTCAGATCTGGGAGAGACAGTCTGCTAGATTGTCTAAGATTCGGCAAGAGAGAGCTGCTAAAGCTGTGGAAGAAGAAGCTGCAAAGGAGAAAGAAGATGAAGAGAAGACAGGTGAAGAGAAAACAAGTGAAGAGAAGACAACCGAGGAGAGTACTACTGGCGAACAGACCGCCGGAGAAAAGCCGCAAGAGGAACCTCTGATAGGAGCAAACTCTGAGACAGAACAGAAGTCTGACACTGAAGAGAATGTAGGTCAGGAAGCAAGTCAGGGAGACAGTATAGAAGCATCTATTGGTTCAAACGTTGTTGTTTCGAAGGAAGTCAACGATGTACGGAAAGATGATAAAGCGGCCAAGAGCGAGGAGACAAAGGAAGAAACTGGAAAATCGCTGCGCGAGAGATATACTAAAGCGGAAGTATTGAAAATTCCAGCCAGCAATACTCTTGGGAGCGAAACAAAATCGAAGGAAAAGCCTATTGTCGTAATGGTTCCAGAACCAGCGGAAGCACAGAAACCCATAGATGCAAGTTTCATAGAAGAGGTCAAACCAGAAGAGCCAAAATCGGACAAAGATACACCCTCGTGTACAAAAGACAAGATAGTGGTGGATGAGCAGGCATCCTTGAAAGAAACATCCCCAACGGACGTGCAAATCGACAAACAACTGGAGACAAAGGATGGAGAACCCTTGAAAGTCGAAAATAGCAATGAAAGTAAAGCTGAGGAGGACGAAATCTCCAAAGAGGACAAGTCGGCTGATGGAGCACAAGATTCGACCGACAAAGATTCAGACTCGGGATCTGACACAGAAGAAACCCCAGCAATAGATCCAGAAGATCTCTTATTTACAAAAGAAGATATCCTCGGTCCAGATCCTTCTTCTGCAATTCTAAACAGCGAGGCTTGGCAGGAACTTCAAAAGCTCATCGGTCTGGAAAAGGTTAAGACGTCTCTGCTTACACTCCTTGAGCTTGTGAAGTCAAATTACCAGCGAGAGCTGGAAGAAAAGCCTCTACATCAATTTACTCTGAATCGCTTATTCTTGGGTCCAGCTGGAACTGGCAAAACAGTGGTTGCGAAGTTGTATGCTAAGATTCTTGGTGAGATCGGTGTTCTCTCGAAAGGCGAAGTGATTTTCCGTAACCCAAGTGATTTGATCGGACAATACATTGGAGATTCTGAAGCCAATACTAAAGCTACGCTTAATGCCGCGAGAGGCAATGTTTTGGTCATCGATGAAGCATACATGTTGTACAGTGGAAATTCCGACGGCACTGGAAATGAGAGCGATTCATACAGACAAGGAGTCATCGATACGCTAGTCGCAGAAGTGCAAGGAAATCCTGGCGATGATCTATGCGTTCTCTTACTAGGATATAAGGAGCCGATGCTGGAGATGCTTAATCACTCGAATCCCGGATTGAGTCGACGATTCCCTATCGAAAGTGCTTTTTGCTTCGAGAACTTTTCGATTGATGAACTTGAGAAAATCATCCGTTCGAAGTTAGAATTCCATGTTCTTGAAGCTACAGAAGAAGCTGTCAAGGTTGCTATGGATGTACTCCAAAAAGCTCGAACGAGATTAAACTTTGGTAATGGTGGAGAAGTGGAGAATCTGATTGCAACTGCGAGAACCAATTACCAATTGAGGATATCGAAAACTCCAGTGGAAGAAAGATCTGCTATTTGTGTATTCCAACCGGGGGACTTTGATCCTGAATATGATAGGGGCAGCTCGGCGAATGAGAATCTTCAAAAGCTTTTCGCCGATGTCATTGGGTGTGAGAATATCGTTGGACAGTTGGGTCAATACCAGAACGTTTGCAAAGCCATGAAATTCAGAAACATAGATCCAAGACAGTACATCCCGACGAATTTCGTCTTCAAGGGACCACCAGGTAAAATATATACGTATCGTCTGCTCACGGAATAACCAAACTAACAGCTTTGTCCTAGGAACCGGCAAAACGACTACAGCACGAAAATTCGCAAAAGTATATTACGACATGGGATTTCTCTCTGACGAAACAGTCATCGAGTGCTCAGCCAGCGACCTTATTGGCAAATACGTTGGACATTCAGGACCAAAAACAGCAAAAGTTCTAGAGAAGGCTCTAGGAAAAGTTCTGTTCATCGATGAAGCGTATCGTCTAGCACCCCATACAGAAAGCCACAGTTTCACATCCGAAGTCGTCTCCGAACTCGTTGATCTCCTCACCAAACCCAAGTTCCACGGAAACTTAATTGTGATTCTCGCTGGTTACGAGGACGAAATCAATTCACTATTATCAGCGAATCCAGGACTCGCATCGCGATTCCCAGACGAAATGAATTTCCCTGCTTTGACACCTCTGCATTGTTTGCAGATTTTGGAAATCAAATTAGGGCTTGCGGGGATTGCGATTCCGATACTAAAGCAAACTGAACAGAGAGAGTATGAGCAATTACTACGAGTGATGACGTTTTTGACAGCAACGCATAGCTGGGGTAATGCGAGAGATGTGGAGACATTAGCAAAGGCGATTTGTAGAACTGTGTTTTTGGAGATGGCGGTAGAAGGAGAGTTGGTTTGTACAGCGGAGAATGCGACGGTGGCGATAGAAGTTATGTTGCATGAGAGGAGACAGAGAGCGTTTACGGCTTTGCCGCCTCCTCGATACGAATAGATATGGGAGCTTTAAATGGGAAATGGGGGAGTAGGGGAACGGGAAAATTGAGTCTGGGGGATGAATTTATGGTTACATTCTTTGGTGATGGTGATAAATAGATGGCTGATGAATATGATGTCGGAACGTACGATCACGTGCTTAAGCGAATCACATGATTCTTCACTTCCTTATAAGGAAGAGAAGAATCATACCTTTATACAGATCATCTCAACTATATTTATTCATTTTGTATAGACTTTTATAATGCTTTACCTGGTGATTCGGATTCAGATCCCTCCCCCCCCAAAGTGATTCAAACATATGATGAATATGATGAATATGATTTTAACTATACTTGTTTTGAATGATATACTCACGGGATGTGTTGATTGCTTCATTTGGAAATTCGCGGATCCGAAAAATTCGATTAAGCTTTTTGTTAGTTGGCAGAAGTCAAATGGCAAAAGAAATTGTTAGGAATTGAAAAGCATGCAATAGAATTGGCTAGTCAGATCACGACGGGGATTGATTTGTTGTAACTGACTGTGGGTTGATGCCAACATGACTGCATTTATATTGGCAACAGTCGGATGCGGAGGGGTGTAAGGGGTGTACTTACTACACCGTCTAAAAAAAGGGTACTTCCCCTCTCCCTAGACATTAGCTTAAACACCATCTCCATCGACATCTAAATGACTCCAAAGCTCCAGCAGCTTTTCAATTATTCATTTTTGAGAACATTCGCCAACTTTCGTCAAACATGGGAGTCATAACTACCACAACAACAATTCTTGAAGAAAAACAAGATCGTAATAGCAGTTCTCGCTCTACTAGCGGTAACTCTCCCCTAACACCTTACAGACCGCCACAGCTAATACGTGAAAGTATCCCATATCAAGTGTGCAATCTACAACATCTACATCCACTCTCTCTCGAAATTTCCAGGTCCTAAGCTATGGACCGCTTCGCGACTCCCATTCATATACTATCTTCTCACCGGACAACTCGTAAAGAAAGTAAAAGAATTCCACGACATCTACGGAGAATTCTACCGTCTGGCACCAGATGGAGTATCATTTGCTAGCGAGCAAGCTTGGAATGATATATACACTTTTCGTCGCGGACACAAGCGTGCTTTGAGAGATAAGGTTTGGTATATTGGTTAGAAAATAGGTTAGATGAGAATATTTAACAATGAGCTAATTATTTCAGCACCGAATAATCAAGCCGATAACCTCATTACAACGACCGACTTTGAGTTCCACGCTCGTGCTCGAGGATTGATGAGTAATTCTCTCATGGATGAAGCGCTCCGCACACAGTATCCATTAATCGAATCTCATGCTGACATGCTGATATCCAAGGTCAGAGGAGCTGCCGAGAAGCCTGATAACTTGATCGAAGGTGCTCGAATCAATATTACAGACTGGTTGAATTTTTTTTTACCATGAACATCATCGGAGATTTGGCATTTGGAGCACCGTTTAATTGTCTTGAGAAAGGAGAATACCATCATTAGGTCCATACACTATTCAGCTATCTCAAGGGAATATCAATTGCTGCAGCTCCTCGGTTCTACCCTACGATGGAATTCCTGTTTCAGAAATTGATTCCGAGAAGAATCATAGGGGAACAGAGACAACATAGCGCGTATGCGGAAAAGACGATCAATCGTCGCTTAGATGCGAAAAGTGATCGTCCGGACTTCATGACCCCTTTCATGAGAAACAATTCAATTTTGAAAATATGTCCCGGGAGGAACCGGGAGGGAATCGTATCGACGTTTAATTTCATTGTCGTGGGTGGTTCGGAAACTTCAGCAAGGGTGATGACTGGCATATTTAGCCACCTCACCAAAAAGAAGAATAAGCGGATACTTGACCGACTTCGTGATGACATTAGAACAAAGTTCAAAGAGGAGAGAGAGATCACCTTAGATGCGATCCAAAGTACTCCTATCCATTATTTGGAAGCTGTGATTAACGAGGGCTTGAGAATGTGCAATCCAATTCCTAGTGGACTACCACGTGTAGTCCCTGAAGGTGGGGATGATTATTGCGGGACGTTCCTCTCAGGAGGCGTGAGTACTCAAAACCATATGAACAGTAATTCGCTGGACTAACATTTAGCAGACGCGTTTAGCAGTTCGAACATATGCGACCAATCGATCCAAGAAAATATTTGCAGATCCAGACGAATTTGTTCCTGAACGGTGGCTGCCGAAAGACCATCAACCGATGAAATATGCAAACGATCAACTCTCGGCTAGCAAACCTTCCAGTGTGGGATTCCACAGCTGTCTTGGAAGGCCTCTTGCCTGGGCAGATATCCGTCTCGCAGTCACTAGACTCTTGTGGATGTTTCATTTTTCGGTTGATGGAGAGGACGAAGTAGATTTTGACGAGTTTCCGGTGATAATGATCATTCAAAAGCACCTATGAACTTGAGAGCCAAGATCAGACCTGGTATCTAGCAACAGTTTCAGGGAAAGTGATGAATGAAGATGTAGGCAATAGGATTGGCCACCCAGGTCGCGACAGGGGTTCTAGGCGTCAGCACGTTGATCACTGCACGTGCATGGTAGAGGCAACAGCTTAGCTTGATTAGGGGATACTCCTATCCAAGAAACATCAAACTGATAGAACTCTCCGTAAATAAATTTTTGTGATGATCATCTTCCTAGACTTGTGCCGAAGAATCCTTCCAGGCTGATTGTGCGTTTGTATCAATTTGTGTGACTTGAACCAATGATGCCACGAGGCACGAGCAAGAGTAGTGGAATGACAACTGTCCCTGTGAAACGAAAGGACAAACGAACTCGAGCATATTTCCCCAAGGTAAGTTACCATTGATTCCTCAAAGTAACTTGACGTTGACCAATATGATAATTTTAGACAAGGACTGGTTGTTGGACTTGCAGGTTCGTGTACTAAACTCCGGAAACCTTATTTTCACCACCAAGGTCACGTGAATTGCTAAGATTGACCACATCTTTAGAAAACGACGAGTCAAATGTGACGAAGAAAAGCCACATTGTGCAAGATGTGAAGCTTCAGGCTTCCAATGTGATGGATATTTTTTAGACGCATTTTCACAGGCTCGTAAGCGCACGAGTGTTGTTCGAAAATCAGAGCCAAAGAGAAAATCTAGTGTAACTGATCGTGCTATACTACCGAAAGGTCTGATCCTTCCAATCAGCAATTTCTAGATATTTCATGTTGGAAAATTATATGATCGGTGACTAATGCGAAAGCAGCTCCCAAAGTAGCTCGTATAAACATACGAGTCCTGAGACCAAGGAGTCCCATCGTCGAAACCGAACAAGAATACCGCTACTTTTGTTTCTTCACCGACAATACCACACGACGTTTGTGCGGATTCTTTGAATCGAAACTATGGAGTCGTCTAATGTTGCAAGCTGGCGAACAGGAACGGCCAATTCGACACGCTATGAGCGCTATAGGGGCTCTTGATTTGATCTTACATACGAAAGAGCAGAAGTCGCACTCATTAGTTGCAAGGTCAACAATAGAGGACCATCATACTTTCGCTATCAAACAGTATGATAAAGCAGTAAAATTGATGAAGTCAAATATCGCTGAACGAGGTCATTCATTAAGAACAGCTTTACTGTTTTGCTTGCTCATTGTATGCTTCGAGAATCTATATGGAACGCAACAATCCGCCACTGTACATATCGTAGCTGGAATTCGTCTGATAGAAGCATATCATCATGACCATACATCTAGAAGTGGCATGTCCCATCTGCAAAAGCCTGAGAAGTCCGATGCTTCGACAGATTCGGTCACTTTTGGCATATCTTCTCCAGTACCAAGTGACGTAGAAGATGAGATCTACCAGGCCTTTGGCTTACTAGAAATTGCTTCCTTGAGCTTCAATGTGGACGGTCGGGGCATGGCCTATCATATGTTAGCTAAGGATTCTGGATCCTCGTGTGTAAAGAACATGCCTTCGCGTTTTGTATCTCTCCCAGAAGCAAAGGCCTATTGGGATCTCATCATGCGTCGTCTTTTGCATCTTTTGCCCACGCTGAATACTGCACAGGCGACGATGCGCGGTTACGAGGATGAGGATGAGACAGCAAACATCAAGAAACCTTCTTCGGCTGTGATCGAAGAGCAAGAGAGATATCTTGCTGAACTGATATCTTGGCACGAGGCGTTCATACCAGTCTTGCAAAAGTGCCGTCTCTTCTCAAGCAGTAGAGATTTCGCAGGTGCCACAATTCTAAAATTGCGTTGGATCCTCTGTCGTATTGCCATAAACTCCGCATTGGTTCCATCGCAAGTCGCTCTTGATCAATACTTGGAAGATTTCCGCGAAGTCCTCAATTCAGCAAAAAGCTTAATGTCTCATCCAGAATGGACAGGCAAGTTCACATTTGATTCTGGAATCATCAGTCAGATATATGTTGTTGCACTCAAATGTCGAAATTTTCCAATTCGATCGGAAGCTATCTCATTATTGTTGTCGAAGTCATGGTGCGAGGGGGTGTGGGATAGTGCTGTGGCTGGCAATATTGCTAGATCAGTTGTGGGTTTGGAAGAGGAAGGTCGGGAAGCTGGATTCATATCTGAGAGTAAGAGAGTGTATCAGACCTCTATGCGATTCGATCTACAAAAGCGGATTGGGACAGTGAAATGCTTTAGGAATATCAGTAACGCATCCGAAAGAGAGCACCCTATTACAAAGAGCATCAAGTGGTAAAACCATGATGAATGGAGACCATTTCTATGCGCCATATGCTTGCTTGAGGCTTATGTTGAAAGAAGGACACAAAGCATACCTGCCAAAAATACGATGGATACTCAATGTGTAGTTGAGTTGGACTCTGGAACTTTGACCATGCGCCAAGAAACCGAGTACCCATCAAAGATATAGCATGTGACCGGCTTGAAGGTGTTGATGATGGAAAGCGGTGTGAACCAGCTTCAGAGATTAGCCGACCCCATAGATATAATTCTAAATATGGCGACAAACATTTAAGCACCCCCACGTCTCGTATGGCGCAGCGGTAGAGTTCATCATTACCGAGTAATGTTGTCCGCCTCTCTACTTGCATTGGCAGGGCTTCGTCAGTGTCAACGTATATAAGACCTATCTTAACGTAAGTTTAGATAGGGTAAAAACGATTTGGTTCATTGGGATTCTAGGCGTCGCGCCTAGAGTTTTGCCATTTTGGAATTCGTTTTTGTGGGGCTTAACAGAGGTTGGTAAGTAATGGCAGGTGAATATTTCATATTGTTGTTCTATTGAAGAAGGCTGAAAGATTTCGTTGGAGTTGGTTGGCGGTCAAGTGTTGAAACTTCACTTCAATCTTTGAATCTCCTTTTTGGTGGAGACTATATTTTGTATTGCCTTCTTACTCAAGCACGATATGGTCTGGTATCTAGTGTCTACTCCAAAATTCAATAATTGTGGAAGTCTGTATTGTTTATGTTATTTTCATGTGGACATGATGAAGTTTGGTAAAAGGTAGATACCCAGATGCCGCACATGTTGAAGAAAGAACAAGTAATACATCATTTGTTTCCATGATTTTTTTCCACGTGTTCATTGTGATCATTACAATGCAAATTAAAGCCTGATAGTATGGCAAATGAATCAATGAGGTGAATTCAGGACAATCACGTGTAGGGACTATGTTTGCAATACTTTTCAGATCTAGCTCAGGACAAACACTTTTCTAACCAAAAACCACAACCACAACCTCGAAGAAAAAGTTCATTAAAATCCCCCCCTTCCAACCAAGATAAATTAAGTTCTCAGAACTACTAGTTTTTCGTGGTCAAAAGCAACTGTAAGAAACATATCAAGCTTCTATAAAGCATTATGGACCCTCCAATCAAATCAAATCTACCCTCGGTCGAGAATCAATCCTCCTCCGAATCACTATTTACGAATACCATAATCAAGCAACCTCACCCACTTTTTATCTCCCAGTAAGTTTGATATGTCTCATTCTACAAAATGATACTGAACATTCACAGGTTATACACCACTGGAAAATACACAGATCTTATTATCAAGTGTCAAGGCAAAGAATTCAAAGTTCACCGAGCAATTGTTTGTTCTCAATCAAAGCCTATTGCTGCGGCTATAGATCACGGATTTAAGGTAAGTCAGTTGCAAGGTGATGATGAGTGGATTGTTCTTGCTGACATCAAGGTTTAGGAAGCTTCTGATGGCGTTTTCAATTTCGAGGAAGACGAACCAGAGATTGTGGAGTACATCATCAGATTCCTGTATGATGGCCTCTACTCTGTATCCAAACAGCGGAAATATCCTGATACTGCGACATGGAGAGGAAACGCAACTTCTGTCATGCCAGATGGAACATCTCGCACTAGAGATTCAGCATTGAGTTCGGACCCACCAGCTCTCCCGGCTGGGCAAAAGTTGTTTCTAAGCTCAAACGGCGCCTCCATTTTCGGACCTCCACAAGTACCAAGAGACAGTGGACGCAACTTGTTCAGCTACGTACCCCAAACTGGTGAAAAAAAGTCGTTATTCAGCCTTTATCGCGACGTTTCTCCTAGGACTACACCTGCACCCGCAAATGGAAGCCTGTTTCGCTCTGTTTCTCCACCTACTACTCAAGCAACTACCCCTAGGTCGACATCAAGCTTATTTGGTCCCACTGTTTCCGCCAATACCCCTACAACTGCGACCGCATCCTCAACGAAGAGCTTGTTTGTCCGACCCACAGAAAATACCTCGAGCAATACTATCGAGGCAGCAAAGACACCAATCGAATTATCAAAAGGCAAATTCAATTGGTCAGGTCGTGGTGGTCTCTTTGGTAGGAGCGCAACTTATGGTCAATCTTCCGAAAACATCGAGCTTCAAGCAGAGGACTTGATCAAGCATGCAAAGGTCTATATCATGGCAGAGAAATATGATATCCACGCATTAAAGACACTTGCTCGTCAAAACTACTCTTCTGTCGCAGATAACTACTGGAATTCTTGTTGTTTTGTTCAAAGTATTGAACTTATTTTCGATGGTACGCCTGATATCTCCGAAGGTGATGATCTTCGAAAGGCTGTTCTGGAAGTTGCTAGTAGGTATATGAAACTACTCCTAGTCAGGGGAGATTTTGCTCAAATGTGCCAGGAGAGAGGTGACATCAGTTTCCCAATTCTTCAGTGGTCTTCGTGGTCGATGTAAGGATTCTCAAGGATGTTATGTGGAATGATTTTACGATACTGTAGGCGGATGGAGCTTTGAGTGGGCAAATGCTCCGGTAGTTGATGCTTCGGCAGTTATTAAGGATACCAATTTATTTTCTGTTCTCTAATGATAGTAATGATACACAAAAATGAATACAATTATGTTCTTCAGAGAAAGACAATTGATTTCATTCAAATGTATGCGACTTGGGAAATGTAGCACAGTCTACGGGGTTCTAATGTACATTCCAAGGCGTGTAGGCTCATGAGAAGACCTCAAAAGCTGAATATAGGAAAAAGTCTCCAATACCCACTTATTCGTCTCAAAAATTGATCAAATCATTCTATGCAGACAAGACAACGAGAATTTACTATATGAATTTTAGAATCTAAAAGTGTGAAGCCCTTTCATAAGTTTGTGCACTCACTATTAATAGTAAATGTTGAAGCCAGCATGAAGTTGACCACTTTGTACTTCTCAAGAATGACAGGAAGTTGAGTTGGAGGAAGAAAACTCAGGGCTTTCAGCCAGCTTTGATGAAATATATAAAGAGTGAGCGTTCTGGAACGATCGATTCCATTTATTGATGTGAATATAAACATGAGGTTCCTATCAACTCCATCAAATGTTAGTGCGACATTTCTTCTGTACAAGCAGTCATGAATCAACACCAGAAAGCAATCACTGAAGCCCAGCGTGGGTAAGTCAAGCCGTCGATTGTGTCTACCCTTTTCTAGACTAACCTGTAAGAATTTACCATTCAAAGGAATTCCACGATATCGAATTGAAGTGCAAGGACACCATTCTCTATGCACATAGTGCAATATTGCTACCTCGCTTCACGGTCCTCGCGAATAGAGAAGATGAGAGATGGAGCGTCATTGAAACAAATCTAAGACGATTTGATATGTCAGATCAGCATTCATTCATCGTCAACGCAGCACTTTGCTACATCTACACATCCGAATACAACGATGACCCTTCTGGAACCTATTCAAATCTGAACATGCTTCCTCGCATACTCGGACTGCCTTTTCACCCCCAGGATTCCTTTTCACCTGCCAAGAATCTTGACGACTCACGACTAGTTTTCAACACGGAAATCTACATCTTCGCTCGCAAATACAAGATCAAAATGCTGGAATGCCTCGCCGCCGAAAAATTCTATGATGTTGCGCGTCTCCCTTCACCTCCGTTGTTCAACTCCAACACAGACGTACTAGAGAGAAGACCTGCTTTTGTCGCAGCCGGATCTCTCCTCTGCGACAACATGCCGGATCTTGTCGATAGGAAAAGCGATGAGTTGTGGAAAACGATGAAAGTGATATCGTTCACGAATTACAAAGTTTTGAAGGACGTGAGATGGAAGGATGGGGAAGAGAAGAGAATTTTTTGGGAAAGGGAAGATTTTATGACGGAGCTGTTAGAAACGGGATGGCATCTTTATCGCGATCTTTCAGTGAGACCGAGAAATCTGGGGTAACTTGCTAGAAGTAATGGTTGGAGACATCAATCTTCATTGATAGAGAGGCGAACCTACTTTTCATACGAGGGATTATGACCTCGTCAATCAAATCAGGATTTATGAAATGCAGGTAAAATGTAGAGAGCTCGACTTTCGTATGATGTTCGTCAATGAAAGAAGCGCTTGCTGTAAATTGTTGCTCAATTGACCAATCCATTGACGTGTAATGCCGATCAGCTAAGAACTTTCCTTTTGCATTTGATATTCAGTATAGATACCCATTCCTCATTCGGATTTAAAATCAAATTAAAGGGAAACGATAGAAACTTCCTGTGTTCTGGTAATATGACAATAATTTACAAGTGCTGCTCGTTTCATGAAGTCAATGTATGATATTCCACCACCCTCGCGCTATTTATTTCTTTCCCTTTCCCTTTGTCTTCTTCTTACTAGTTTGCCTCCTCTCACCATCAGGTCTTCCCAATACACCCCTCGTTCTCTGGTATTGCAAGACAATATTCTGCACACTGCCCATATCATGCTTGGGCTTCCTCATGTATGTCAACCTGGCTCTTCTGGCTCTCTTGGCCTTTCTCTGTACCACCTCGATACCCTCCACATTGGGACTATATATCTTATACCACATTTCGACACCCACTCTCGTCAACTCATTTCTCAATAAGATACCCGTCTCCACACCCCGTCGTCGAATATTGATACATACTCCGGCAAATGGATCGCCAGTTTTGAGTCGTACGAGAAGAATATCGCCAACTCTGGCTGCTTCTGGGTTTGTTTTGGAGAATAGGTTGGTACGGGCACCGGTGGGATCGAGGACGGCAATTTGCTCTGCGTGAATGTTTTTTATTGGTTCCTTGAATATCTGAGCCGGTGATGAGGGTGGAGGATAAGTTTTGATTTTCCGGACAGCTATTTAGGGTATTAATATAAGAGGGGCTCAATTGTAAGATCGATGGAGGACCGACCTTGAGTCTGAAGAGGAGTCTGCGACGCCGGCTTTGAGTGGTGATATGTAGTCAAAGACCTCGAAATGGTCTTCTGTTGTCTAGAGAGCCTCAAGAGAGATTTCCAACAGCTCAATGGCCGCAATGTGGGTGTCATGGTCGCCATGATTGTTGTGGTCTTGATTTTGTATTGAAATGAGGTTGAATGCGACCAATCTGAAAAATTCTGCCGCTTTTGGGGTCACCGCCTAAATATTTAAATCAGAAGTCCAAACTCTCTTAACGATAACGGTCGACCTCACCCCTCCAAATAGTAACCATACACCCTTCCAAAGCTACCTGAATTTACTTTCCAGGTCATCATGAGTGGTAAAGGTCTTTCCAAGGTCATTCGTGGCAGCGAATGCTTGTTCAAGCATGCGCCACTAAAATTGACCAGACAACAACGATCTTTCACAAGTTCTCCAGTATGCCAAAAAGTTGGTATGTGATTGAAATGGCCAAATTGTATTCCATGTGTTGACTTCAGAGTAGGCCAAGTTCCATATTTCTCTCCAACCTCCTCCCCAGAGCTTGACGCCTTACTGTCGAAATACCGAAAGAATCTGTTCTTACCCGCACATCTTTCAGAATACGACCGGGAGCTAGTATACGGCAGTAGACATGCAGAGTCACTCAAAACTGATCCGGTCAAGGTCCAGATTGGTGAAGAAGAATTCGTCCTAGAGCACATAAACCAATTGAGAGATATACCAGGCACCACGAGAGGATTTAGACAAGTTCTCAATCTCATGATGGAAAAGAAGGATTGGGACAATCTACCACAGTTCCTTGAGGGACATCGCGATTGTCGACGACCTTTAGCACATGCCTTATTGTGTCAGATGATTCGACGGGCCGGTTTAGTAGGACGAATGGATGCTGTTATTGAGGCGGCAAGAAGGGTTCGACACACAGGATTTCGCTTGAACGACGAAGAAATTGTTCTGCAAATGATGTACTGGACCTACTATAAAGCACAGGTCAGTGGCTTTGAAGAGCACGAAACGAAGCAGGCGCTTGCATGGGCAGAAGCCGTAGCAGATTTGCTTGAGGATCCAAGACATGCTGGAGATAAGGGCCCATTCCTTGCAGAGGGCGCGAACGATGTACGGGCTCTTCCGGAAGTGATTGGCATAATATTGCAATTAGCTGCAGTTCGTGCCGTCAAACACACAGATGGGAAGGATTTGGATGGGAAGGTCGCAACTTATACTTCAAGGCTACTTGGAACGCCATACGACTTGAGCACTTCTTTACTCAATCTTAAGAGGCCAGAAGTACGGGTGTATTCGAAATCCAGTGCCGTCGACTCGGATATAGCCAGTCAAACTAAAATGGATGGTGGAGATTATTCTGCAGAGGAAATACAGAAAAAGACTATCCGGGCTAAGAACCATTGGCTTGTAGCTGCAGTACCAGTGCTGCATGGGATGAAAACAGCATTACATGTTTTCGACCCATCAACGGTAGCTTCATTGAAGTTGAAGGAAAACATACCTCGATTAGAGAAACGTGTTAATAGGTACGCGTCCGACTTGAAGGGAATCGCTGCGGGAAACCTGGGTTATAGAACATATACCAATTTATTTGGCTCAGTATGAGTCACATGTTTCTTTTAATGATCGGATGAAAACTTTTGTATTTGTATATACTTGTACAATAATCTAAGGAAGCACGATATACTTCTCTAAATGCTTTGGAATTGCTCCTAGAAGTTTCTTTTCCGATAACCACTTCTTGGAAAACAATCGGTCCGCATATCTGTATGCGCCATCGCATAGCACTGTCACGACAGTGTGGCCTTTTCCGAGTTTTTCGGCTAGCTCCTTAGCAGCAGCGACATTCAAACATGAGCTAGCTCCGAGGTACAGCCCTTCCTCATCTAAACAACGGTAGACCATCTCGATACTCTTCTCATCACTGATGTGCAGTGAGCCATCTAATAAATCAATGTCTGGTTTTAAGTTGTCTGTAACTCTGCCTTGTCCGATTCCCTCTGTGATACTAGAGCCAGTTCTATCCACCAACTTTCCACCTGACTGAATGTATGAATGCAACACACTTCCGGGAGGATCAGCAAGGTAGCATTTGACCTTTCCGTCGGACTTTGTCTTCAAATATCGAGTGATTCCGGCCAAAGTACCTCCAGTTCCTGTGGCACAGGTGAATGCATCCACTTTGCCATTAGTCTGATTCCATATCTCTGGCCCGGTAGTCTCAATGTGGGCTCGTCTATTCGCGATATTGTCGAATTGATTTGTCCAAACCGCGTTCTCCAATTTATCGGCATGTCGCTTTGCTTGATGGTTGTAATTTTGTGGATTGTCGAAAGCTACTGCTGGTACTGGATACACTTCGGCACCCAATAATCTTAGAAGGTCAATCTTCCCTTGAGATTGTGTATTGGGCATGTAGATGACGAGCTTGTAACCTTTAGATCTGCAAACATGTGCGAGACCAATTCCTGTATTTCCAGCGGTTCCTTCGACAACAGTTCCTCCAGGCTTCAATAAACCCCTCTCTTCGGCGTCTTTCACAACATATAGAGCTGCTCGGTCCTTGATTGATCCTCCAGGGTTCATAAACTCTGCCTTTCCCAATACTTCACAGCCAGTTGAATCAGAAATGTGATTTAATCGAATGAGTGGGGTGTTTCCAATGGCTATGATTGTTTAGTCAATACTTTATAACGCGCCGCGAACTACCAAGATTCAACGAACCTCCAGTTAAACCCTTTACCGCACCCTGAGCCTTAGAAACTCCAATTCCATATTGATTTGGAGCTTCCATCTGAGCAACATTTTCCGCAGCTCTTACAGCTGTGGTCGTAAAGCGACGAACGCCAGATCTGAACATCTTCAAGATGATTTGGGACAGCAATTGGACCAAACTTTTGCGCTTGACTTTTGTACTTCCGAGATTCTTTATCCGATTCTAATAAATGCTTCGCACTGGTCCGATGTCGCCATCGATACTTACCGAGGCCGATTTGGTCGATATGGCCAAAACCCCAAAAATAGATTTCTGCCTGAAGCAAAAAAAATTCTAAAATTTGTATGGTGTGGTTATAGAAAACTTGGAAAAAATATTTGTATTATACAGAACACAATCTCATCGTATATTACTACAGAAATTATACATAATATATCTTTAATTTTTCGAATAATACAATAATAATAATATTATTATTAAATTGTAATACTTATTTTAATGATAGACCTTACTTTTTATTAATTATATAAAGCTTATATAATTACCTTAATATATATAATCTTATAATAAATAAATATATTTAATATAAATAAATAATTCAATTTATTTACTTTTTAATTAAAAATCTTTTACTTAATTTAAAGAAAATTAATAATATTAAATTATATAATTAATATATTAAAATAATATTTAACTTTATTATAATTAATAATTCTTTTTTCTTTTTACTAATCTTTAATATATTAAATTCAAAATATTTATATAATTTATTAAAATGTATATTCTTTGAATTATTAAAAGTTAATAAAAATCAATATATTGATTTTTTTTATAACTTATATAATATTTATTATTATTTTATATATATATATGAATTATTTAAAGTATTTTGAAAAAAAGATTTAATATAAGATTTAATATAAGATTTAATATAAGATTTAGTATAAGATTTAATATTAATATAATATAAAAAGCGTATTAATATAATAATAAGATTATGTTTTATTCTTTTAGATTATATAATGATTTTAAAGATTTATATATTTATTTACTTTTTCTTTAATTTATTTTTATAAAGTTATTTATTCTTTATCAATTTTTCAAAATAATTTTAAATAATATTAGTAATTAATTATTTAAAAAAAAATAGATTAAATATAATAAATCAAGAGAATTTTTTAATCATTTTTATAAAATAAAATAAGGAATGAGGAAATATATTTTTCATTAATATTATAATAATTTTTAAAGCTTTTATTATTAATTTTTAATATATTAATTTCTATTACTTTTTCTAAA